TAACCTCTTAGAATTGGACTTTTTGCTTCTCTCTATTAATACTATACTCTTTGTGGCTCTACGGATTATGAGAATTAATGGATAAAGCTGCAATGATGGCTTACAAATCAAACAATAAATAATTGTATTTCTGCAAAATTTTACTTTTCATATTCTGCCTTATGATCCAGTTCATACTTCATAGTGTTTTAGCTTAAATAATAATGTAATCTCTAATCAAGTCTGGACACCTGTTGAACTTAAAGGAGTAGTTGACGTATATTTGAACACCCTATAACAAAAAAAAAAATTCTAACCCATGGATCTTTGACCTGATAATTTTTTTCTTATCTTATGAAGACTTTACTTTCTTGCTTTGTCTCGTAAATAATAGAGTAATCTCATTTTATTATTTCAAGTTGTGATAGTTTTCGCCCTCAAACGACTGGACTTCTAGTAGTTTGATTGAAACTCTAAAAAAAAAAAAGAAGAAAAGAGAAGGTTACATTAATTATTTAGTAAGAGTGATCAATTTATGAAACGCAAAGGGTCCCTTCCGATAATACTTTCATTTATTTCATTGGGGACCGTTGAAATGGCCATAAGTTTTTTTCTACAAACCCCAAAATGCCCTTTCAACATGATAAAATAAGGAAAATTGTTGGTTTCAATTAGAAGTAACAATCTTGATATATTATCTATTAATTCCCTCATAAATAAATGGGTTGAATACTTATATTAATTAATACGAGTTCTAAATGTGTTGGGTAATATGATCCTTTCATTTTAATTAAGCAAATTAATATGAATTATAAATGGGTACTCATTGGATCGAATATTCATCTTTCTATTAAATAACGTAAGTAATAAAATCAAATAAATATATTAATATACTAAAAAATATACACATATTAATATACAAAAAAATACACACAAAAGTAATACACCAAAATACACACATCCTAACACACCAAAAATACACATTAATGACACTTGACCCATGGGACGCCCCATAATCCATGACGCAGACCCATGACCCATAATTCATGGGTCGCTCGTGATCTACGGACCAATCTATGGCCCACAGGTGATCCCAATCTATTATGTGTGTATTTTTTGTATATTAGTATGTGTGTATTTTTTGTGTATTAGTGTGCGTGTGTATTTTTAGTATATTAATGTGTGTATATTTGTATTTCGGTGTCCTAATTAGTTGTGTCAGTTCTGTCTTAATCCGAGTGAATAATAGTTTTTAGAAGTATAATTAGTTTGAAAATTTTCTTTTTGACAAAATTTGTATTAATGGCCTAATTACGTAATTAACGATAATTAGGTCACAATTGGTTATTTCCTAATTAGTTTTAGGGTTTCAACACTATTTATACTATTGTAAGCCTTAGGGCTAAGTAATTTTTGATTGGTTTATATAATTGAGAATTTGTCTCTTTTTTTTCCAATTCTTCTAGTATTTTTTGTGAGTCAATAGATCAATTGAAACTTTTAGACTAGTATTCCTTGTGAATCAATACCACTAGAATAGAATTCTAATATGATATTTGTGCGTAAATTAATGATTTAGTTTCACTATCCCATTTTGTTCATTATCTACTCTTATTCTACCCACTTCCCTACATTAGTGTGTCAGTGTATGTTTTGGTATACTAGTTTGTATCTATTAAGAATTTTAATTATTTTATGGGTTAATATATTTAATTCAACCCGTTATAAACTCAACTCATTATAATTCATTTAATACATTAAAAAAAATTAAGAAAATTTGTAGGTCAATCCCCCTATATGAACTTAAGTCGTCAAAAGAAACTTATTTGTTATGGAATTATAGAATATCTATTTCCTTTAGAAGTGAAGTAAAACTAAAATTTAAAAACTCTTAAATTTTAAGAGTTTGACTGACATTAAAAAAATTTCTTTCTCTTATCTATCTATATTCATATATAGGTTAGAACTAAATATCTCTCTCTCTCTCTCTCTCTCTCTCTCTCTCTCTCACACACACACACACACACACATATATATAAATATATAAAATAAAATACAATACAATTTAAATATCAAAAGATAAACAAAATGACTTTTGCTATTCGCGATTAAGATCTCTTTAATTTTATTTTAAAGTTAATCTGACAGTTAATATTAAAATTTCAAATTTAATAGGAAAAATATGTCTCTAAGAGTGTGTTTGGAATAACTTTTTAAAAGTATTTTTAGAAATTATTTCTCATAAGTACTTTAAAAAAAAAAATAATGTTTGAAACTGCTCCACCACTACCTCTACCATCACCACTACCACCACCACCCCCACCCCCACCACCGTCACCGTCGCCACCACTATCGCCACCTTAGCACACCCACCACTCCACCACCACCGTTGTCACCACCTTATTACCACCACCATCACCACAACCATTGTCCTACCACCACTATCACCACCGTCCCACCACTACCACCTCCTCCTCTACCGCCCCACCACCACCATTACCACTACTACCATCACCATACCACCATCACAACCACTACCACTACCACTACTGTCCCACCACTATCACCACCCCACGACCACCACCCCCACGACCATCACAATTACCACCACCATTGCCACTGCCCCACCGCCACCACCATTACCTTCGTCACCCACCACTAATTGCTACCATCGTCGTCCATTACCACCACCCACTATCTTCATCATCTTATTCTTATAGTTATTATCATTACTACCATCATTCCACCGTCACTATCCACCACTACAATTGTTGCCCACCGTCGCCAGCTACCATAACTCACCACCAGCCACAATCACCCAGCCCCACCACACCTATTACCACCACTTGTCATCCACCACCACCCGTCATCACTCATCACTGCAGTCACTCATTGTCACTTATCCCCACCACACTTACCACTGCCGTCATTCGCCACCACTCATCATATTGTCGCCTAGAAGCACCTATAGTCGCCCACCATCACCATCATCGTCACCACCCATCATCACCGTTGTCCACCACCACCCACACCCATTATCGCCTTCACCCACGGCTGGCACTACCATCATCTTCAGCCAAAACTCATCACCATCATCACCGTTGTCACCCACGGCTGCCACTACCACCATGATTATCATCACTCATCACAACCATCACTGTCTTCTACCATCACCATTGTCGTCCACCTCTATTATAATCGGTACTTAAATTTATTTATTTCTTATCTATGTTTGTGATTTGATTTTTAGTGTGAATACAAATATGTTTATTGTTAACCATTTTTTTTATTACTCTGTACCTTCAGGAAACGAGAAATAACTAGTATATATATATATATATATATATATATAACATTAAAAATAAATAATAATAACATTTAAATACCAAAAAAAATTATCATTTAAACACAAAAAATAATAACATTCAAATACAAAAAAAATATCATTTAAACACAAAAAATAATACCATTTAAATACAAAAAAATTGTAACATTAAATATAAAAAAATAGTAACATTCAATATTAATATTTTAAAAAAAATAACAATAGTAACATATTTAACAAAAAATAGTAACATGCTTAACAAAAACATGCTCAATAAAAAAATAGCAATATGGAACAAAATTAAAAATGAAAATAGTAGCATTCAAACCCATAACCAGAGGAAAAGCCTCCAATTCTTCGACATTCAAAAAAATAACAATAAAAAAGTAATAACATATTCAATAAAAAATAGTAACATGGTCAATTAAAAAAAATAGTAATCTGGTCAACAAAAAACGTAGGGATCTGAAACATTGAAAAAATTAGGGATTATTTATCAAAAAAATAAAAATAAAATTGAGGATTAAATTAATAACACATTGAGCAAATTTTTCAATTTTTTTTCCGAAAACTAATGACGGAGAATTTTTTGATGACCAAAATACAGTAGGAGATATAGTCGTTGTTGATGATGTTCTAAACTCTACTGATTTTGATGCTATGGAAGAAGAAATGATATCTAACGAGAAAGATTTGTTGTACTGGAATGATGATCTTCTTCTAACGAGAGAGAATATAAATTTAAATTTCAATTTATGATTGAATTAAGAGATAATGATTTCTAATTTAAGAAATTAATTTAAAGTTACTTTCAAGGTTTTTAAGGTTTTTATAATTGAAAAAAATAATACTGTTAAGAGTATTTTTAAGATTTAAAAAAATAATAAACTTAAGTATTTATTAGTAAGATAAAAAATGAATTTATCATCAAATAAGTTTATTTGACGAACTCAAGTCATTATAAGTCCATTCAGGAAGATTTAGCCCCAATTTTCACAAAAATGAATTAGATTTATTTTAACCTAACTCATAATCAACCTAACCCACCCATTTACCATCTCTCAATTAAATTCGACCAACTCAACCCAATTTATTGAAACTTTCAATGAAAATAATGGATAACTTCTCAATTAAATTCGATAAAATATCTGTCATCTTAAGTCTTTCAGAAGCATTGCTTTGGGATCAAACAGCTAGTACAAAGCTAAGGTGGCAACGTTTATGGTTTTCAAAAAATTTGAAAACGAAAACGAAAAATTGAAAAAAAAAAGGTTCCAAAACAGACCCTAAAAGTCTGCCTAAAAAATGTAAAACACCATTATGGCAACAGAACTAAGACTTTTTTTTTGCGACATCAAAACCATTGCTAGATATCAATTGCTTCTACCCAAAAGTACAGCCATGAGATAGAAGGATTTAGTATTAACAGTTTGGAATTTCCAATAATACAAGATCATGGATGATGAAGCAGTCCTTTACACTTGTTTACATGAATGCAATACAAAAGAGGGGAGATAATAAGAGAAAAGAAAAAAAGGTAGCTAGAAATGAAAAGAAACCTGAAGGTGTGATGGAAAGGATGGCAGCTTGCCAATCCCTTTTCCACTCCTACCCCAAGTAGTATTTATCTAAAATCTACTGAGTAATTTGTCCATATTTGTACAGATCCTCCATGTACGGTAGATACAAGCAGTTCTTGTGCTCCAAAATTCTTTCAAAATTCACAAGACGTTCCCAGCCTTTGCTTGGACAATCCCATATTCTTTCTACTCTCAAAGGCCTCTGGCAAAAGTTTCACAAAATTCTCCAAGAACAGCTCCCATTCCTCTTCACTCAATTCTCCGAAAGAAATGGCTGCAGCACTATCTTGCTTATAGTTTGGCACAGCGAAACTCACGCTCTTCATTAAGGTCCCTGCCTTGTGGTTATCAATTACATTATTTCCATCTTTATCGCTGTCCTCAGTAGTGGTGCTTGAGTCACAATCGTCTTCCTCGTTTACATGAGACAATTCTGCATCATGCAATTTACTCATCCATCTTTCAGACAAAAATCTTGGGATTTTTGGTGGCCTATGTATCTTGGAAGGGCTCTGGACGAGTTCAGGAACATTTGAGACTTGATTGGAGCTATCCTCATATTCACTGTCAAAATGGAACATCTCATCAATTATTTCATCGCCTTCATTGTCACTGGCACTGATATCATTTAGTGCTCCTCCACTCAAGCAAACCTTAGCATTTATGCAGAGATTCTCTAGTACACTCCAGCTTTCTTCTTCTCCATGAAACTCGCGAGTCATCATCTTGCCTATATCAGCAAGACAAAACCCGAAAGCAGTAGCTTGCTTCAAGAAAATGGTGCAAACCACAAGAACCCGAATAGAGGACTCCCTTATAGAAGGCAGTTCAGCCTTTAGAAGTTCTGCATCTTTAAATGCGTCAAGATTGTATATGTAATCAACTTCAGAATCTGAAAAAGGTATTGAAGCTTGGGGCCAATGCAGCCATTCAAAATATGGGTCATCAAGTGACTCAGGTAAGGAGAGTCCATGGTCTATGGGGACAAGCTCAGCTGCACCAACTGCATAACTGTCTTGTCCATGCTTGACAAGTATGTTTCCTGAGTGCCTATCAAGATTGAGAAGTCTGACATCGAGTATCCCAATACGGTGAACTGAAGAAACCGAGAAGCCAGAAGGGCCCAAGTCTCCTGCATCGGAATCGTGATCTACAAAGCGTTGAAGTGTGGCAATCTTAGAAGGTGGGGGAACTGGTTCTAAAGTGTTTACATGGAATTTCACATGAGAAATTTTGACTAGTGCTGTAGGAGGGACGCCTGCAAACCCACCATGATCAAGGAGATAAGCAGCCAATTCACGAAAACCTGTTTCACCTACCCTGATGGAGCGTTTCATGCCAGGTTGTCCTAACATCCGACCTGCAAAGCCCTTTGGGTTATTGATGGCAAGGGGTTCCTCATCAATTGGCTTTGTCACAGCTATTCTATCCCCATTTCGTGCATGAAGGAAGTAGGCACCGCCTAGCCCACTTGAAACTGGCTCCGGATTGACACCAGAGGTCATTGCTATGGCAACTTCAACTACAAGAGCATGTACCCACGGGGCCCTATGCCCACCAAGGATTTCAATTCTTGGATTGCATTCACTCTCCTCCTCCACACTGGTGGTGTGGGATAAGCACGGGGTCGAGAAACTTCTGTGGATGTTGGTGATTTCAAAAGCATGTTTTAGGGAGTGTTTGAAATTGGCTTGGCTGAATTCGAGCATTGCTTTATCCAGTTGAGAGTAAGATTGGAGTTTGCATCTTGAGGGTCGAACAAATGGCTTGAATCCGTGATGTTGATCAACAGCTACAGCCATCTCGAAGTATTTCATGCAGTTGAGAATCACTGGAGTACATGTCAAAGAGCAGCTTCTTAAAGGATCCTTAGAGGGTTAGTCTTCCCTGGGAGATTAGCCACGTCAGGTCTGCAATTTTTTCAAACACAAAACTTCGTCAGTCATTTTACCACAACAACCAAAGTAATGCATTTTCATGCCTGTCTTAATTTCAAGATGTTGAATTGGCACACAATCAAGTACTGGTAATTGGAACTACAAATCATCAGCTTGTATGTTTTGATATTTCTAAGGGAAACTGCATATGAAAATGGTTCTTGAAATCCATTATTTACATGACACGACAAATCTATGAGCAATCAAAATAGGCCAAATGATATATAAATTCCTTTTTTTTTTGTTTGGTGAATGCAAGTTCATTTATAACTGTCTGAAAAGGTCACAAGGATCGCAGTTCATAGTTGTCATTGGGCTATTATGGTTATGTTGGATCATGAAATGGGAAGGGAAAACAAAAAATTAAAGATGGATTACACATATATGCAAGAATCATTATCCAAATTCAGATTACATGGAACTGAGAAGACGTTACATGCAATTAGTTCATCTGATTTTTACTTTCGATGAAACTCCACAACTGCATAATACTCATAAGAACAGATAAGAAGTTGCAAAATTGTACATGATAAATTGATAACAGCAAAGACATAATTGCTTACTTGATATTGGCATATACAAGCTTGCATAGGTCAATTACTGGATCCATTCTGCTAATCTCCGAGCACCTACAAATTACAGACCAGTTTAGAACCACTTATTGCCTTTGATCAAGACCCCTCCACATAAAACAACAGAAACGAAAGATCCCTTCATAAATCTAAAGAAGTTAGAAATTAGATTGACTTAATTATAACAAAACATCAACATACCATCCTATTAGTCCCTCGCTCCTCCGCTAAAAAGTCGCCACAATTAACTGCAAAGAGTGGAAACATAGTACAATTACAACGAACAATCAAGTATATTACAGCTTAGCACAACACGTCCATAGTAGATGAGAAAATCCCCCCACAAAAGGATGGAGAGAAGGCCGAAAGTTGCGAAAAATTGAACCCAATGAACCGACATGAGAAATTAATACGATTTGAGTGTTTTTTTTCAAGTGAAAATTAAGATTTTGGGTGACACATTATACATGAAATGAATATTTTCAAATTTTCTTGGTAATCATGAGGTGGCTTTAGATAATCATTGAACCCGTGACTGTTATGCATTGAATTGACAAATATGATAGCAACCTAAATATGAAAACAGAGACAATAACATCAAACACCCAATGTAATTTACGCTTCCAAACATATCAAATGTATTGGAAAGCAACCAAAACTCCCCTAAAATATCACCGAAATATATGTACATCATCGAGTCACAAAAATAGGATTGTATACATCTAATCCTTTTCAAACTTCACAATTGCGAGAGATTTTTTATATAATCATTTCTACTATTAAACATATAACCGGAGGGGGGGAGGGGGAGGGGGGTGGAGAGAGAGAGAGAGACCCTGAACACTGGTGAGGCATTCAGGGAGACGGAACGGCAACGGGAGAGCGCGAGAGAGAATCAATCCGTCACCTAAAAGACAAGCCCTCCCCTTCTCCTCCGCCCTTGTTAATACATACCCCCAAGCTCTGGGGACACCTCTCTTCCTTTTAAAAATTTCTCTCTCTTCCCAGAGTTTGGGCAAGACCTGTATGCTATGTTCCACCCGACCTCTGCGCCAACAACTTTCTATTTTTGGAGGAGAGGGGAGGGGTGGGTCTCTCACTCCATCATAACATATCTGTCACCAATTCTTCATCACAGCCAAACCCCATTACTCAACTGTAAGTGTAATTTATATGTTGAATAATGATAAAATAAATAAATGGTTAGATTGGTATTGACATTGATCAACATTTTGGTAACCAACGTGTGAATGGAAAATGAGGAGGTTGCCAATGCCATCATCCCTCATCATTATTACAAGGTTCTTTAAATTCTCTTATTGCAAGGTTGAGATACGGTGACGATGGTGGAAGAGCCGAAGAGATACTATTTTTGGGCTTATAGTAATAAGTGTAGGTGCTTTTTTGTACGGCTCATAATGCACGTGGGAGTTGGAGTCCAGACAAAGATGGTCAATGAATGAATAAGACTGTGAATAATACTATTAAATTAAATTTGATAATTATAATTATTAAATATGCAGTATATCCTAATAAATACATAGACTTGTTGTAAAATTAATGATTACAATTATCAAGTCTAATTTTTAAATTTCTATAACATTACGCTACCACTACTCCACCCGAGAATTGTTTTTCAATATCCTACCGAAAGTAAACAAACATCTAATGGCACGATGCCACAAAATTTGCATATATCGGCTTTTCTCTATGTCCTTCCCCTTCCTTTTGTCCTATTCTCGTAGTATCATTTGAAAAGTTGGATAAAAAACCATTAGAGACCAACTTCACCGTCAAGATCAGAAAATGACCATCTACCAAATGACTCTGCCTCTGTAACACCCATAATCCAGAATCAACAAGCGCCGGTACCAATCCCAACCCCAACCCCAACCCCAAAACCAACCACTTGGAAAAAGGGAAGGAAAATATAATATAAAAGGAAACAGCAAGAAAACGGAGAGTAGCAAATTCTTTTTACTCCCATATCAACATTTTTTTTTTCTTTTCTTTTTTGCTTCCCTATCATCGATACCATTTAGTTGGAGGGCACACACCGATATTAGTTTACATATATAATGGTACAGAACCAGCAGCTCATGAACACGGAGACTATCTTAAAACTGTACTCATCCCATGCATGTAGGTAGTGTTAGGTTCATGTCCAAATTGATTCCATAACCATTGTCCTCTGAAAAACAAGATTTCAAACATAATCCCCTATTATCAACATCTGAGGTCTCTGAACAAACAAGCGCTTCAGAATATTCAACAGACCAAAATGAATAAGGACTTGAAAGGTATTAGGAACAAAAAAGCAATGTGATACATTTGTTGAGTTCATACATTTTTTGGTTTTCCCTCCTTATATTTATGCAGAAGAGAAATCATACACAGCAGCAGCAAGCAGCAATGTATTAAGGGCCTGTCAACTGATATGACTTCGACCCGAAATGCATCTGCCACTGCACACTTGATCAAATATTTACAAGCACAACAAAAAAACATACATTCACTCGATTGTGAGGCACGCCCTTTTCTGCGCTGCTCCCACTTGCAAAGTTCTTTCGGTTTGCTCTGTTCATTTGGATGAAGTTATACAAAGAACTTCTTTGCCGTAAGCTGGCTGGAGAAGTGATTCGAATGGTAGAAGAGAATACTTCTCATTTTCTGCTGCTATTAACATAACACAAGGACTAGAAAGAGAGGAAGAGCCCACATGTCAGAAGAAAAGAGGCCTGCAGAAGCTGCAAAAACAGTGTATTGATGCCTCAGATCAATCCAACAAAAATAAAGGATAAATTACAGTAACACCACCCCTTTGATTTGCTGAAGTATCACTACAATAACATCTAGTTCATATACTTGCTTCAGGTACCACCGCTGCCATGCCATCAAAGATTTTTTTCTCTGGTGTCACTATTACCCTTAGGTCACCAAAGATATATTGCCAATGCATTTCAAAAAAAATTTTAAAAAAATAGGAACAACTAAAAAGCCAAAATTACTATGCAGGAAAAGTAGTTGTGGCCATGCATAGACTAACTTAGAAGAAAAACCAAATCAATAAAAAATTGAAATCAAGATACAAAACATTAGAAGATTACATCTTTAACTCAAAATTTTAAAAAATTAAGAACATAAACAAAATAAATACTAAGAAATATGGAAAAACCAACTGTCATGACACTATATCTAGATGGTTTAAAAATATCAATTAAGAAAATTAATGAATTTTTGTAACATTTTGACCCAATATGAGTACGAAGGCATGGGTAAAAATTTAAATCGAATTGATAGGGAGTATCAATGTGACTTCAGAAATCGAAGGGGTTTTCCTATAGTTATGGCATTCTACAAGTGGGTGTGGCTGTAAGTAAATATAATTTTGCAAATGGTTTTTATGGACTACTTGCTTTGATCAAGAAAGAAAAACTTGAAAGAAACAGCATCATTGGGAAGATTGCAATCAAAGAAGACATTGTAGATATATATAATGAAGCAGCCCTATGGTAAACATTTAACAAGCTATTTCTATGAAAGACACGGCTGATAGAAGAAGCAATGTGGGCAACAATTGCATCAATGATCCCCCCCCCCCCCAAAAAAAAAAAAAAGTGATTTAAAAAGGGTAATTCTTTATGCACCAAATCAACTGCAGCCGTTGGATCAGTGATGGGATCCACTGATCCAACGGTTGCAAGTGATTTGGTGCACATAGCATTGCTCAATTAAAAATATAAAGAAATCCACAATAAATAATTATGTATTAACCAAACAAAGACTGAAATTAAACAGCCTACCTCCTGACATAGTTGGGAAAGTTAACAACAATTGCTTCAGATCCAAACAGTAAAAATTTGGAAAATAATGCTGATATTCTTGAAGATATACTCACATGGAGATGGCGAGGATGAGACTGAAGCTGTTATATCAGGAGGCTCCACATCGAATTCACTTTTTGATGGGGGCTGAACATGAGCAAAAACTACATTTGGAAATGGACTTGACACAGGAATTAATTGTGAGGCAGGTGCCCGAGGTTCTACTTGATGCTGTGGTGCAGGAGCTGTATACTTTGGAGAAACTGGTGGTACAACAGGAGGAATTGGATGAGAATGCTTATTTGCCTTCTTCGGTGAACTCTTTCTAAACCCAAAATGACAAGCAGGAGGCTTTGCCTTATGACTCTTTTCAGGTGTAGGTGTAGGTGCAGACATTGGTGAAGATGCAGGTGAACCTTTATCAGTAACAGATCCACTTTTCCCAGTCTGAGGTGCAGGTGGAATTGCGGGAGCAAGATGGGAATAATCATGGTGATGGTGGTGGTGGTGGTGGTGGTGGTGATGGTGGTGGTGGTGGTGGTGGTGGTGGTGATGGTGGTGATGCTGGTGGTGAGGATTTGGCAGAGGAGCCGGAGAAGGCGACCCCAAGGTGCCACCACCAAGGGAATGTTGCAGTATAGATGAAAGACGAACTTGTTTAACTCTTCCAAACACGGTGTTATTGAGGCCAAGGTTTTTCGTATGAGATGTAGTGATGGTTTGAGCCAACTGCTTTAACCTTGACTTTGAAGGATTGATCCCAACTGCCAGAAGAACTTGTGCCTGAACAGTAGTGGGGGGTGCCACTGTTGAACCTTTCAAATTCGTCAAGCTAATGTACAAGTTCTGCAGAAAAAGCAAAACTTTTTGATTGTTGCGATAATGCCTTTCACCCATAGTGAATATACTAAACAATGTTTAGGTTTTTTTTTTTTTGAACCTTAACAATGTTTAGGTTACTAAAAACGACTTTAGTTCAAAATTAACTTCAGAGCTAGCACAAAAAAGCATTGTTGTGAGATTAAATATAAATCCTGCCTGTATGACTATGAAGGAAAATTCCTCTTCATAAGAATTTCATGCCTCCCTCACTGTCTAGAAAATCTCACGCACAAATGCACACACTTGCTCCCACACAAGTCATATATATTTTTAAAAAACTAGCAGATTAAAATGCGGCTACCACAACATTTACAACTGAATATCGGAAACAAATTAAATACAAAAGGAAGCATTTATAACAAACATCAATAGTATACGTGGTCACAGATTAGCACAACAA